GCATCAGCAGCCTGATGGTGCCTTCAGGCTTCCTGATACCCCAAAATTGCCTCTGTGCCTTTGGCCAGACAAACAACTTGGGACCAAGTTTACCAATAAATTACATGGCTAAAATTAGGGAGCCATGTCCACAAACCACCTCTGGCTCAGCTATACAAGCTTACTCAGAGTTGGGATGGGCTACCTCCACCACTTCCCAATACACACAGAAGCACTGGCAGTCACCCCCACGAAACAACTCCAGTGCTACCCTGTAAAGGCCCTCCCGTTGATCATCGATTTGCTCGAGCGGGCCCAGTAACGTCTCCATTGGAGACTTTGTTGTTACTGTGTCTGGCATATCGAATACGTCACGGGGAGCTTGCCAGGCTCTGCCGTGCGGGCGAGATACTCTCGGTAGCTTCCTGGGCTCTCCGAGAGGGGCGGAGGAATCGAACTCGGGTCGGCCATGTTGGCTGCGTGCAAGGCAAACGCCCTACCGCTATGCTATTGCTCCAACCCCAACTTACCCTGGAGCAGCTTACATGAGGGTGACTCCCCCTGGCTCTGGCATGGGGCTCGGGAGTGCTACCCTGTAAGTTCTACCACTGGTCTTGCCTCAGAGACCCCTAAATAAATCTCAAAAGAGATCAACAGCTGCAGTTAAGCTCGGATCCACACATGGCTGAAAAGACCAGAGTAAAATTGGAGGGGACGGGTTGGCCAGTACATGCCCAGGCAGAGTCCCCAGCAGCCACTTGCTTCCACAATTTAAAATTGCTGCCATATCCCAAGCCTGACTCCACCGTCTCGGGATGGACCTCACCAAGATATAATCTGCTGAAAATTTTGTAATGTGGATCTTAGCACACCAACAGCCGTGGCCCAGAAACACAGCAGCAAGTCCCAGAAGACACAACAGTGCCGGATATCTCTCCAGGCCTCATACCGAGCCAGTATCACCTGGGCACCCCAGATGGAGCAGGTGCAGTTTCCTTGCTTACTCCAGATGGAATCCCGTGACCAAGAGCTTCCACAAGCAAGGCCCAGGTATGTGGGTTCCAGAACTAAATCTCTAGGTTGCATGGTGGCAGAGGACCTGGGCTGTCCTTCCCTGGGTCCCTGCCCACCCAGAAGACTGGCCGTCACACCCACAATTTGCCTCCGGGTGCCATCTTGGCACACAATAGCCCTGGGCCAGGGACTCCCAATTGAATCCCAAAATGGATTAGTGCCATACAGAGATGTCGTTGGAACACAACGATTTACAATCCAGAAATTTACATTTACAATTGCGGCCGCATGAGCTCTTGTGATGTTCTAAATGAGCTATGGAAAATATATTATCTAGCATCTGCCCCTGGCAGATAGGCTTAAATGGTGGTGGGAAAATTTGAGCAAAACATAATGCCCCAAATTAGAGAGAGACTATGAGGGAAACTGTCAGTCATAGAGGCAGGGTGAGGACTGCGATGTTGTGGGGGGAGGGGAGGGGGATACTTGGGGCATTGGTGGTGGAGAATGTGCACTGGTGGAGTGATGGGTGTTCCATCATTGTAAGCTTGAATCTCAAACATAAAAGCTTTGTAACTCTATCTCACGTGATACAATAAAATAAAAAAGTAATGTGGAGTTCATGCCCAATTCAATCAGCTGAATCAATGGCTGAACAAACAGCAGCACTCCTACATTATTTAAAGAAAAAAAAAAAATGAAGGAACCATCCCGGCTGGGGTCTGGGGCTCAGTGGGAAAGAACTTGCTTTGCAAGCAGAAGGCCCCAAGTTTGACTCATAGCTATACAAAGAGGGGAACTGTTCTTACTGACCCCCAACACCACTGGGCCTATCCACCAGGGAAACTCCGTACTAGTCCTGGGTCGGGGTTTCATAAGGGGCCCACTGTTAACTGTGAAGTTCAGGGGTATTGCCTTCCACCCTACATACACAGCATTCAGTGGGGGGTCTCTGCACTCAGTTCACCCTAGAGTGGGACCCTGAGCCCAGCCCCCGACTCTCCCACACTTCACAGAAGTGGACAAATCACTGAGCCCCAAGCTGCAGTTCTGAAAGTTGACTGACAGGAAAGGCACAAGGAATCTTTGAGATGACGCAGTTGGGCTCTGGAGGAGAAGGGAGTCCCCGAGACTCTGCCCAGCATGGGGACTGGCTGTCACCCAAAGCCACCATGTGCAGGGAGGGGCTGCAGGGTCTGAGAGCCTGAGAAGCAGCAGGCAGCACGCCAGGCTGAGGTGGTGCCAGCCGGGAACCCGACACCTCACATAGAGACTTCAGATCATGGTTCCCCAGCACCGGAAGCTTTCATGGGCTTTTCCTTTCTGGGGTGTGTGTGTGGGGGGGGGGATGTGGATTTGGCCACACCTGGCTGTGCTCTGGGACCATACATAGTGCGGAGGGAGACACTGGGATCGGCCAGAGCAAGGTGAGCAGCTCCCGAGCCCCACGCCAGAGCCAGGGGGAGTCGCCCTCGTGTAAGCTGCTCCAGGTGGGGAGGGGCTGTGCACCCCGGTGGCCGCTCGAAGCAGCGAGCCTCAGAACCTGCGCCCTGGAGGAGGGCGGGTCACACCTGGCAGGGGACCAAGCAGGGACCCCCACCACTATGGCAGGAAGCTGCAGGAAGGAGAGCTGGTGGTGGGTAGGAGGTCCTGCAGAGCCTGGGAGCCTGGTCGGGGGTCCCCAGTGTCCTGGGGCTGGGCCTGCCGGGGTGGGGATCAGATGGGGGGGCTGGAGGGGCAGGGCTGGCCCTTCCCAGAGCCATGACAAATAGCATCCCTAGCAGCCTGCCCTGGATGGAGTCTGCTTGTGCCACATGGGGTGCCCGGCAAGGGGCATGGGGCAGCCCTCCCGGGACCTTGTGCCCGACCTCCAGTGCAGAATGGACCCCACCCGTCCACCTCCAGGGCCCACTTCCTGGCAGCTGCCACGGAGGAAGTTGGGTGTCATGAGCAGGTGAGGCCAACACTGTCTCCAGGGACCATGGTGGCACCCAGAGGCGGGACAGGGGCCGGGGGTGGGGGGGTGGACCTCCTCTGGGGCCGGAGCGCAGGGGCGGTGGAAGGCAGGACGGTCAGGGAAGCACAATGACGTCTCCTGGCACTGCGTCGGCCACGTGTTTATTAAATAAAATATCCTTCTGTTTGGTTTGAAAGCTAGCTCAAAGAAGAGAATTCTTGAGTCAGGTTAATTCTGAGAACCAGAAAATAAAGGAGAAGAATAAAATCGTGGAGAGGATGAAGCCCAGCACGGAGGCGCATCAGGCACTCGGGGGCGGGGCGGGGCGGCCCCCAGCCAGCCTGAGTCTGTCCCCACCCTGGCACCCGCCGCAGAGCCCTCAGACAGACGCGCGCCCCTGAGACCCAGGGACACGCCCTGAGGGTGTTGGGACTTGACACACTCCATAACAGACCCCATTTTTATAGCCCTTGCCTCATACCCCTACATTTTGGCTTTCTCAGGATTTTGCTCCTTTCCCCTCTTCCCTCTGCCATCTGCCAAAAAAGGACATCCGGGCTGATAGCTCGGCCCTGGTCCCCACAATCCTGCTTCTCCCCCCGGGCTGATAACTCGGCCTTGGTTCTCGGAATTCTGCTTCTTCCCCCCCCCTGGGCTGATAGCTCGGCCCTGGTCCCCAGAATCTGCCCGGGTGGGAGCAGGGAAGGAGGGAGCAGCCGCCAGGATGGCCGGGAAGTTATCAGGATAAACCGGCCTGTCTGTGACGGCTCACTGTGCTGCCTGAAACGAGGTTGAAGCTTCTGTTTTCACTTACGTCTCCCTTTGAGACTGGCAGCGTGGGCTAGAGTGCACACACTGCCTATGAAGCCTGCAGCATCTCCCTTGCTTGGGCCTTGCTCCCACCTGTGTGCCCAGCTCGGCTGCAGCCAGCGGCCTGGATAAACTCCGCTTGTGTCTGCATTACTGACTGGACTCGGTGTGGTTCGGAGAGGGGAGAGTATCAGCCTTGGACCCTAACAAGGGTCCGTCCCGGGAGGAGCCTGCCCCGCCCGATGCTCGTCTGGTCCTGGGCTGCGACGGCAAAGCCACGTCTGCAAAGCCACAGCTGCTCGATGCGCAGGTTATGGCAGCCGACCACACCCAGTAGGCAGGGACTAGGATACAGGGGGGCCTGTCCCCAAGGCACTGCTGCGGTGCCTGGGCCCACCTGTCTCCCATCTACCCCCACAGCCCCGCCCACCTACCTCCTCCATCTCCCCACAGCCCCGCCCACCTACCTCCTCCATCTCCCCACAGCCCTGCCCACCTACCTCCTCCATCCTCCACAGACCCTCTCACTGTCCCTCTGTACCTGCAGCTCAGTCTGACCCTGCCCAAGCCGGCTCTCCTGTGCTTCCTCCAGCTACACCTTCGTGTTCAAGGTGGTCCCATGTCTTGGGGAGCAGGACAGAGGCTGTGTCTGCACACACACACACACACACACACACACACACACACACACACACACACAGACATACACAGACACAGACATACACACACAGATACAAACACACACAGACATACACACAGACACACACAGACATACACACAGACATACACACAGATAGACACACACACACAGAAACACAAACACAGACATACACAGACACACAGACACACACAGACATACACACAGACATACACACACAGACACAGACATACACACAGATAGACACACACACACAGAAACACAAACACAGACATACACACACAGACACACAGACACACAGACGCACGCACGCACGCACACACCTGGCTGCCTCCTTCCCCACTTTCCTGCCAGAGCCCGAGTTCCTGCCCCTGCCTTGTGCCCATTTTCCTCCCACTCGCTGCCCAACTCCTGGGCCTGCCTGCAGGTCCCCAGCCCCTCCTGAAGCCCAGCAGCCAGTCCAGGTCCCCCACCCACAGCCCTGACCTGCACCCTGGGAGCGCACCCCGGCCATGCCGCTGCCCCAGCCCCATCCCCCCCACCTCCCCACCGCCCCAACCCGCCCGCCCTCTGCAAGCCCAGTGGCTCCCGGAGTGAGCTGCAATCACAGGCAACAGATGTGAGCTGTGCAAGGCCCCCAGGGCCCCGGTCCTGCCGGACTGTGCAGCCCTCCCATGGGTGGTCAGTGGCAGTCACTGGCATGGCAGGGCGGGGCAGTGTCCGGGACATGCGGATGGCACGAGGGGGCACAGCTGGATGCGTCCCTCCGAGGCTTGAGCCCAGCAGCAACCCTGCAGGCACTGACAGGTGGGCAGAAAGGTGGGGGACTCCGGGGCAGGGACAGTTCTGGGGGGTCAGACCCCGCGTCCGGCCTGCACGCAGGGGCAGGCCTGTGCCGCTCACAGCTGGCTGGCCACACTGTCCCTGGGGAGGCCATAGCCCAGGGGGGCCTCGAACACGCTGCCCCCGTCGGTGCTCAGGTCGTCATCGTCGTCTGAGTCCTCCAGTACTTTGCTCGGCAGCTTCTTGAGCCTGCGGAGACCAGCGGGCAGGTGGCCTGCTCAGGACGGGGGTCCTGGGTCCCACGCCCACCCGGGGCCATGGGGCTTGGCACTCAGTTTGCAGGGGGAGGGCGGCTTCTCAGCCCTGGGGCCCATGGGGGGGCGGGGGGAACTTTGGGGACTGGGTGCCCCGGCATCTGGCCACCCAGGCCCTGCCCAGCCCCCTCAGTCTCAGGCCTGAGTCTGGGCCAGGCTGATGCCAGGGGCTGTTTGCAGCCCCGCGCCGCAACTTCTGGGGTCTGCAGGGAGACGCTCCCCAGTAGGGATCTGTCGGCCCCTCTGTGGTGTGTGGGAGGATTTCCCCAGCAGGGTCCCTGTCCACTCCTAGAGCCCTGGACAGAGCCCCCGGGGCTGGTGGGGCTGCGGGGCCGAGCAGAGCAAGATCCCGGCTGTCCCCAGAACACTTGGGGTGTCCCCCAACCCCACCCCCAGGAGCAGCCGTGCTCCCAGGAGTGGCCCTTGGGCTGCTGTGGGCTGCGCCCCCGCCCCTCTGACAGCAGGTGAGGCCAGTTCGGCCGCTCTGGCATGGGGCCGGCACACGGCAGGCCTCCGGGAGCAGAGACCCTGGCCCACCTCAGGTCCTTCTTCAGGGCACTGAGCTGGCCCTGGAGCTGCTCGTTCACGTCCAGCTGCTCCTCCAGCTCCCTCTGCAGCTTCTTCTTCGAGCTCTCCAGCCGGTCGATCTCCTCCTCAGCCTCCTCCACCTGGCGCTTCATGGCTCTCAGCCGCAAGCTGAGCTGTAAGGGCAGCGGGGATGAGGTCAGGTGGGAGCGGGTCACAGAGGCGCGGCCACCCAGGCCTGCTGGGGGCCCGGGCAGATAGTGGCGAGCCGCCACACCCGCTCGAGCCGCCCCTCACCTGGTCCTTCTGGTCCGTCAGCGACAGGTGCTCATCGTCCACTTGCATCACCAGCTCCTTCACCTTCCGCTCCAGCCGCCGGTTGCTGAGCTGGAGGCTGGCGCGCTCCCTGCAGGGGCAGGGAAGAGGCAGGCATGCCTCACTGCGTGGCCAGTGGGTGGTCAGGGCCAGGCTCGGGGCCGGGAGCCACACACCGGGGCTCTGAGAAAATGACACCGCGAGGGCTGGGACAGACGTGGCGGGCCTCTGGCTGGCCGGGGAAAGAGCTGCCTGCACTATGCTCTGCATGGCATGGCCCCACCCCAGCCCAGAGTCCCCCAAAAGCAATCACGGGCTTCGTTCTGCTCTTCTGCGGTACTCCCAGCGTTGCTCAGGGCTCACTCCTGGCTCAGTGCCCAGGGATCATATCTGGCAGTTCTCAGGAGCCCCTACTCGGTGCTGGAGATCAAGCCCGGGCTGGCTGTGGGCGAGGTAAGAGCCCCACCCTGTACTATCTCTCTGGCCCGGAAAATGGATGATGGGAACCGTGAACTGCTCCTGCACCCCCAGACTAGGAAAGGAGCCCGAGGAGGGGAGCATGATGGACCCCCAGCCTGCTCGGGGGGCTGCAGGGGGCAGTCGCAGAGGAGAGGTGGTCCACCAGGTGCCTGCTTTTCCCATGGGGGCAGGGAGGGTGAGTGTGTTCTGCTCCCAGGAGGGCCTGGCGGGCGGCGTCCCCTCACCTCTCCTCGCTCTCCAGCCGGTCCTCCAGCTCTGCGATCCGCGCCTCCAACTGCACCACCAGGCCCTCTTTGCTGGACCTGTACGAGCCTTCGAGGTGGATGATGCGGCTCTTTAAGTCCTTATTCTGGAAAGCAAAGCAGAGGACCAGGAGAGGCTGGCAGCGGGAGCAGGCCCTGGGGAGGGTCTAAGGGAGGGGGAAGGGGGAGCCTCCTGAAAGGGGGCTGACACTCTTTCAGAAGCCCAAATGGATCTTGGGGTACACCCTAGACCCCTGCCTCCCTGGACCTCAGACTCAGGGGCTTGTCCATGGCCAGCGCTTTACCTATGAGCCAACCTCGTCAACAATCTGGCTCAGAGAGAGATGCCCGGGCCACTCCCCGGCGGGACCAGCAACGGGACCAGCAGTGCCCCTCCCCTGGCAGACTTCAGACCACGGGGAAGCACGCCGGGAGAGACCTGGGAAGCCCCCCGCCCAGCCGTCCCTGCAACAGCCCTCACCTGCCGCTCCAGGGAAATCTTGTCACACTCCAGGTCTTGCCTCACAGCTCTCTCCTGGAGCAGCTCGCTCCTCACCTGCTCCATCTGCACAGGCAGTGACAGTGCGTGACAGTGTGGGCCGAGGGTGTCCCAGACCCCAGAGGGACCGCCATCCCCAGGGACCCAGAACCCAGGCCCCTGCACACAGTGCAGGAGGCATGTGCACCCGCTGGCCTCCCCAGGCTGCAGAGATGATGTGCAAGTCCCAGTCCCACCCAATAGCCCTGGGCGGCAGGTGCCTCTGGCCTCTGTCCCCTGAGACACTCCTGAGGTTGCCTGAGACCCAGAGGAGTGACGCTCTCTGAACACAAGGTCCTTGTGGAGATGGGCAAGTAAGAATGGGCAGGGTGGGCTTACACAGCGTCTATCCAGGCCCCGGATTTATACGTCCTCACAGGACGGCATGTCCCTCCATGGAAACGGGCACACACAGAGACAGTCACAGGCCGGGGGGGGGGGGGGGGGGCAGCGCCCACAGTCAGGGACGGCAGCTGGCTGGGAATTCCCGCGACAAGACGCGGCCCTGCTGAGCTTGGAATTTAGTTTGCTGATTTGTGGCCCCAGGGCCACACTTCGAGGTTCTGGACTGTATGGTGCTAGGGCTGTATCTGGCACTTCCGCATTAGGGCGACTGCTCTGCGCTGCCCACTGTACCATCCCTCAGGCCCACGTTTCATCCAAGGCTTCCGGCCTCGGACACTGAGTCAGCCCATCCCTGCCACTCCAGAGCCTGAGCTGGGGTGCACTGTGACTGCTCCCCAGAGAGGCTGCCCCCTCTCAGCACCCTGCGGGTCCTGGGCAGTCCCAGCATACACATGCACGGTCACCCCTCGTCAGGATCTGCACAGCTAACTGGGCCACACACCCTGCAGAGCAAGACCAACCCCCAGGAACCCCCGAGAACCATGGGGAATGAGCCAGCTATGCGGGGTCAGAGGGCAGGCTGAGCGCTGGCACTCAGGAACCCACACCGGGGCCCCGTGACCAGCCTTGAGTCCATAATGGATGCACGTCCACGGTCTAGGGCTACAGCACTGAGGGGTCAGTACAGGGACAGGGACACAGTCCCAGGGAATGGTTTGGTCACGCTCCTCAGCAGAGGACACGGTGACCTTCTGGAGACGGAAGGAAACAAGGACACACAGTGCCCTCATTCCTGGTGACTATGTGGTGATGGGAGGGCTATCTGGGAGGGCCCACGCCTCCTGGCAACCCCCAAAGGAGAAAGAAAACCCAACCGCAATTCCTTCACAGCTGCACTTCCCCGCAGGCCTGTGGAAAGGGAAACCAGGACAGACAGCGGGAAGCGGGGAGGAACATGCACGGGAGGGCCACAGCCACCAGGCTTTGGGAAGAGACTAGGCGGGCCGACAGGAAGCCCCTCCAAAACCTCAGGGGCCGCTCTCAGAGCCCCTAAGGGGTCCCCACTGCTCACAGCCCCTGAGGGTCCCCATGACTCACAGCCCCCCAGGGTCTCCACTGCTCACAGCTCCCCAGGGGTCCCCACTGCTCACAGCCCCCCAAGAGTCCCCATGACTCACAGTCCCCCAGGGGTCTCCACTGCTCATAGCCCCCCACTGGCTGTCCCCGTCTGCATGCAGCCGCTTCCCACGCAGAGCTCAGTGGCTCTGGCCGAAAGGCGGGAATATTCTGCAGCAAACCTTTCTCCCCCAGCCCTGGCCTACTCTGGCAGAAAGAGACCGGGGGTGTGGGTGGCAGGGGAGGCCTCTGGCCCAGGTGTCAGAGAGAGGAGGTGAGGTGGGGCGAGTGCTGTTCCTCCTCGACCTTGTGAGCAGAGAGAACAGCAGCGTCCCAGCTGCTCGGGGGAGAACGGGGGCGGCAGGGGAGGGAAGGTGAAGCCCTGAGCACTCTGGCAGGAGCAGCCACAAGCAGGTGTGGTGGGGTTGCTACCACGGGTGCTTGTGGCCAGGCCAGTCCTGGGGATCAGGAGCAGCTGCCCTCTGGCTTAGTGACAGTCCCAGAGGGATTTTGACGGCCCCTAACAGTGGGCCCCTTAACCCCATCATGTGTCAGCCATGGGCTGGCACAGAGATGACCCTCGGTCACAGGGGAACAACTCTCCACATCATGCACCTGAGTGGCTGGGCCCAGGGGGTGCTGACACGAAGTCTCTTCACAGAGGAGCAGTGACCTGGGTGTCACCCCCCAGCATGGGAGTCCCCTTGTTACATAGGCCACAGGACTCCAACTGCAGCTACCACGGCCACTGGATGGCCATGTGCCCCCACCTCACCCAATGCCACAGGTCTGTCCTGCTCCTGGAATTGACGACCATCCTTCCACTGGGCATCTGAGTCCCAGGCCCAAAGAGCCCCAACTCTGCTCAGTCACACGTCACGCCCCCGAGGGTGGCATGTCAGGAAAGTGACAAACACGCCAGGTTCAGCCTGGGGGTCATCTCAATCTTAGTTTGGTGAGGAGGGTCGGGAGCGAGCCTGCTGCCAGCCCATGAGGAGGTCCCTGGCCTAGACCCAAGGAGGAGGGGGGCACACTGGTTCCTGGACCCACATAGCTCGTTGTGACCTGGGGAGGGGGCCAGGCAGAAGCAACGGGCCCTAAAGTCAAGTGTGCTGATGCTTCACGGGCTGCTGCCCCGACAGCCCTCAGGGCCAAGAGGGGAGTCACAGGGTCTAGAGGAGACAGCCAGGCTGGGCTCAGCATCTAGAGTTAGGGTTTGGGTTTATTGGGGACCCACAGCAGTGCGTGGGGATCACTCCCAGTGGTGCTAGTCGGCAGCCCCCCTCGTGCCTGAAGGTCTTCCCCACCGAGGGCACTTGGGCCTGGCCTGGGGGTATGGAGGCAGCACCAGGCTCACGGTGGGCAGACGGTGCCTGGCAAGGCTTCCTTTACCCTCCCAGGGAACTCACGGCCAACAGCTCGGCCCACCGTCATGGCGGCATACGAGCTGGTCTCTGGCTCTCTCCCCCACTGTGCGGGCAGCGGTGCCTGTGGCCCAGAGCAGGGTGGCAGGAGCGGATGCTGAGCACCTCTGGGAGGAGAGGGAAGCCTGGGCTGACCCTGACAGCGCCCGGAAAAGATCTCCGTTCCCGATGATGTGATGAGTGTGTCCCTGCTGCCTGCTGGCGTCTTGGTTCACAGTGAGGGGACACTTCAAAACTGCAAAGAGCGACCTAACGACAGTGAGCAGTGAGGCACTTGCTTGCACGTGGCCGGCCCGGTTCATTCCCTGACATCCCATGTGGTCCCCCAAGTCCCGCCAGGAGTGATGCCTGAGTGCAGAGCCGGGAGTAATCCCTGCCAAACCCAAACCAAAACAAACGAACAGAAACCCCTGCAAAAAAGCCTCCTTTGTGGTGCGGGAGGACGGGACGGTGAAGCAGGCATGAGCTGTGCACACACCTGCCGGTCCCTAGAGGAAGAGCCACGTCCTTTCCCCCCTCCCATGGCGTTCAGCCCCCAGGCTGCCCACACGGCCCAGGCCAGCGAGTGAATCAGGATTTTTATCATGTATTTAAGTATGCTTTGGGGGCCACACCATGGGTGCCAAGGATGGGACCCAAGCCTCCTGCATGTAAAGAATGTGCTCCTATCCTTTGGGTCATTTCTCTGGCACTTTCATTTTTTAGTTTTAAAAGTTTTTAGCTGGGGGCCGGAGTGAGTAGTACAGTGCATAGGGCATTTGCCTTGCACTCAGCTCAGCTGGGTTCGACATCCAGCATTTCACGTTCCCCCCCAGCACCACCAGGAGTGATTCCTGATGCAGATCCAGGAGTAACTCCTGGGCATCGCTGAGTGTAACTACCTTCACCCCCAAGCTCTTCCCCACAAAAGAGAATAAAATTTGTTTTGGTTTTGGGAGCCGGCGTTTCAGGGGCCCCTTCAGTGGTGCTCCAGGGGCTTGAGCCCAGCATGACCTTCAGGGCCCACACCCATGCTCTGGAGAGCCTTCCTCTCAGGGTTCTGTGTCCCAGCTGACACCGCATGCACACGGCCCCTCTGCCATCCACCTAACACCTCAGGTCCAACATGGCCACAGCTCCTTGCCAGTCTCTGGGATGAAGACACCTGGCTCGCTCTTCCTGCAGCCCCCGGGATCAGCCCCTGATGGACGTGCCCGCCTCCACCCTGGCAGCTGGGTCCTACCTGGTCCCTGCTCCTAGCGATCCTCTCAGACAGAGCGTCCGCGTTGCTTCTCTCCTCCTCCAGCTCCAGCTCCAGCTGCGACACCTTGTCCTGAGAGAGAAGCCAGAGGATGACTGCTCCTGATGGGGAGGGGTCAGGGGCACAGGAACGAGAACCAGGAGCTACGGGACCGAGCATGCCGAGGGTGGGAGTGGAGGGGAGCCTGGACAAGGGTGGGCGGTGTGTGCTCCCGGGATGCCGTGTGGATGGACCCTGCCAGGAAAGTGCTGGGAATCATGGTGCTTCCAGTAAACACAGAGAAGGGTGGGCACAGAGGAAAGAGGAGAGAGAAAAGAGAGAAGATGGAAGAGGAAGGAAGGGGAGCGGAGGGGGAGGGGGGAAAGGGTGGGAGGGAGGGGTCACTGCGTGCTAAACTGGGTCAGCACCGGGACAGAGCATTGTCTACCGCCCTTGCTGACTCCTGATTTAACATCCCTGTTATGGGAAAAGGCATCGCAAGGGGCCAGAGCGAGGGTGCAGTGGTGAAGGCACCTGCCTTGCAAGCAGCCACGTTGGGACCAATCCCCAGCACCCCAGATGGTCCCCCAAGTCCCTGAACAGGAACAAGCCTGAGGACCTCAGGGTATGGCCCCCCAAAGCCAACAAAACAGAACAGAAAAGCAACTCGAAATAACTCTGTTGACAAAAAAAGAGGAGGCAGGGAATGCAATCAGCTCCCTCTCAGCTTCTTGGGAGCTGAAAGCAGGTGTGTCCTGCTGCATCAAGCTGCTTGTGTGCTGGGGGGGCTCAGCTCTGAGACATGGGCACACGTGCGCGCACACACACACATGTGCACACAAGCACAAACAACCACTCATGCATGCACACAAAACATACATATGCATACACACATGCACACAACACACATTCACGCACATAGAGGTATATATACACATACATACACAGACATGTCCACACATGCACGCATGCACACACACACGCACACACATGCACAGAGCTATGTCCACACACCTGCACACACATGTGCACAGACTCAAGTACGTTCACAAACACATATGCACATGCACACAACACTCACATGTACATACGAGAACACAGGCACATGCACACACACAGTCAGCACTGTACTTTCTTGAACAGCAGCCAGTGTAAGCACACTGTGGTACCATCCCTGCAACAGCCCAAACTAACTAAAAATGCGAAATGAGTGTCAGAGTCACAGGCCCTGGGATGCTGGAGACTGCACAGGGCTGGTTGGTGGGCCGCAAAACCACCCAAACCCAGGCTTTTGCACTGGAAGTTGCTGGAAGGCGCTTGGGCTGTGAGTCCTGCCCACAGGCTCAGTGCTCCAGAACGGGCCACGGAGGGCCGCTCTGACCAGACTGCGCTCAATCTCCCGCACACGTTTGCCTGCTGGTTCCTGCCAGGTGGGTCTCTGTGACTCATTAGGGACCAGGGGTGGGTAGGGGAGCCACCAGCAGCGCGTGTCCAGGAGCACCTGAATTACTGCGCCTACAGGACCCACAGCGAAGTCTCGGGTGCAGGTAACTGAACTGGTGCATGTGAGTGATGTGGGCAGGCACTGGGCCTGCCTCTCCAGCACTCACAGTAGCCCAGAGCTCAACACGTGCATGTGAACAGAGAAAGCTCAAAGACAGCACAGGGCATGGGGCCCTCTTCAAGACTCTGCCAGCAAAGAGCACTGTTTTCCATCTGAGGGCTCCAGGAGAGGAGCGGCATCCTAAAACCAAAACCAAAACCTAGCCAAAAGCCCAAACCCAGACAGAATCAGCGGGAGGTTGCTCAGAGCGGATCTAGCAGCAGCCCTCACACTACTGCTGCAAAGGATCTAGAACGGTCAGCTTCTAATGAGGGTTGAGCCCAGCCTGCCTAAAAATGACCTCCCCTATAGCCATTAGAGCCAGGACACCGGCCAACCATGAGAACAGCCTGCACAGGAAGAATAAAACCATGCTGGCCCCAGAGGGCAGGACAGCAGGAAGGGCATTTGCCTTGTACGTGGCCACCTGGGCTCAATCCCTAATGTTCCATATGGTCCAGAGCATGCCAGGAGTAAGCCCCGAGCATCACCAGGTGTGACCCAAACACGGGGGGGGGGGGGGGGGGGGGGGGGGAGAGAAGGAAAACGAGAAGAAAAAAACAGGTCTTCTAAAATGGACTCATGGTATAAAACCTTTTAGTGACTGAAGCATGAAGCATCACTTCATTTGAGGTTCATGCCCAGTGATGCTCGGGGCTCACTCCTGGAGGGGTGGGGGGACGCCCTTGTGGTATGGGATCCAACTGGCCATGTGCAGGGCAAGTCCGGGACTATCAAACACATTTCATAAGGAATATGAAATGCTGCAGAGCCACCCCGCCCCAAGTTTTTTAAGTCATTTTCATTTATTTGCAAAGTTGAATCAAACTACTAAACTCGTTATCTCTCCATGGCATTGGGCACTGTCTGCCTTTTGTCAAAACCTTGACCATCTCTGATTCCGCTAAGCCCGAGACGACTTCCTTGGTACCTTTTTCCATCCATCTCTAGAATCCTCTGTGTGTGTGTGTGTGTGTGTGTGTGTGTGTGTGTGTGTGTGTTTGGGGGCAAGGGTATTCTGGTTGGAAATTGGTTCTGTTCTTTTGGCATTTTGGGGCACACCCTGCTGTGTTTAGGGGACCTTATGGGGTGCTGGCAATGGAACCAGGATTGGCCACGTGCAAGGCATATGTGTCTTACTCCTCTATTGTCTCGCTGACCCTGGATTTGTTCTCTGGTAAACTGAGGGGAATGACTGGAAGGTTCTTCCTATCGCCCTACAGGCTCTTTACACCTTAAGATCACTGTCACTTGGTCACAATCTTCTAAGATACTGTATCTTCATTGTGCAAGCGTTATTATTGGGATGAGGGGCTCCCAAGCTGGGCTCCCAAGGCCTCGGTCATCTCCAGTAGCACTCAGACAACCTGACCGGATTGCTCAGTGCTGGGGCCTCACAAGGCTCATGTCCAGCACTGCTGGGGGCTCAGGGAGGAGGGGCATTGGGCAGTGCCAGGATCAAACTAGGGCCTCGAGTGTGCAGGGCAGGCACATCAGCACCGAGACCCAGCTCACCTCTTTCTGACATACCATCCTGGACTGACTCTCTTCTCTCTCTCTCTCTCTTCTCTCTCTCTCTCTCTCTCTCTCTCTCTCTCTCTCTCTCTCTCTCTCTCACACACACACACACACACACACACACACACACACACGCACACTTGTACACATGCATACACACACTCTCACACATGCACATGCACACACACATGCAGTGGGGAGGTAGGAGAGGGGCTAAAGCCTTCTATGTGCCAGACCTAGGTCCGGTTATTCCTGGCACCACCACCACAGTGCCAGAGGCACCACACACTCCCCAGTGTGGCGGAAGTGACCCTGGACTGCGGGGCCCAAGAGGAACCGCCTCTTTGGGCCTGACTTAACCCACCAGCTCAGGTGTCTGGGAATTGCTGGAAGCGACTCAGTTCCTGAGCACTGATGGGGTGCCCTCCACCATCAGATCAGTGAACAGGGTCGTGCTCTGTGGCTGACACCGACAACTGAGGAGGAACTGGGCCCAGATGGGAGTTGAGGATGGAGCACGGAGCACAGATGTGACCGGCTGTGCGGGATCCCTGGTGCGGCGCCCAGCCCAGCACGGCCACGCCCGCGTGAGGGTGCCTGGAGTCCCAGCGACAGCCGAGTAGGGAGAGTGGCCGGCGCCCAGGGCTGCCCTGCCTCCCTCAGAGAGGGGGCTGGAGGCGAGGGGCTTCCCACCCCACTGCGACCTGAGCCACGAGAGCTGTTGCTCCTTTGCAAGCCCAGGCGCGGCCCTGACGAGGCCCAGCTGTAGGAAGGACGGTCCAGACCCATGCCAGCATGTGCCCTGAGACAGGTCCCACTCGGTGCCGAGCCCACAGACCTCCATCTGCTTGATGAGCCGGGACCGGTCATCTTTCAAGTGACTCTTGGCCTCCAACTCATACTCCAGGTCCTTCAGCGTCTGCTCCAGAAGCTGCTGCTTCGTCAGGGCCTCGTCGCGGGCCCGCTGGGCGTCCCGGAGCTCCTCCCCCATTAGCCGCACCTGCGAGGGGAGAGGGGAGCGCGGGGTGTAGCCAGAGCATGGACCCTGGGCGAGAGACCAGCCGCTCCCTGGGAGCCTGTTTCCTAACCCCCCAGCCCTCCATGGGCTCCACACTCAAGTCAGAAGTTTTTTTTTTCTTTTTCTTTTTGGGTCACACCTGGTGATGCTCAGGAGTTACTCCAGGCATTGCACTCAGGAATCACTCCTGGCAGTGCTCGGGGGACCACATTCCCAGTGGTCACAATTTAATGACTTTTGTTTTTTATGGGATGCTGGAAATCAAACCCGGGTCGGCAGCATGCAAGGTAAACGCCCCACCCGCTGTGCTATCACTCCAGCCCCTCAAGTCAGAAGTTTAAAACTAAATACGCCCGGGGCCAGGGAGAGAGTCCCAGACTTGCCCTGCACATGGCTGGTTGGATCCTATACCACAAGGGCGTCACCCCACCCCTCCAGGAGTGAGCCCCAAGCACCACTGAGCATGAACCTCAAAATCAAACAAAAATTTTTTTCAAAAAACAGAAAAATCATAGTAAAGATTTTTTTCTCCAACTTTTTTTTTTACTTTCAAGCCACACCCACCAGTGCTCTGGGGTTACTAAGGCTCAGTGCTCAGTGCTCAGGTTGATCCTGGTGGTGCTCAGGGAGCCATGTGGTGCTGGGGACTGAAGCTGGGCCTCTTGCACGCAAAGCCTGCATGCCAGCCCATAGCGCTCTCTTCTCCTGAACTGCCTGTGAGACCTCTGGACCCGAAGGTCTATCTTTACAGACACACGGACCGCCGTGTCTTGGCACAGAGAGCACTCTTACAGCAGGTCAGGAACACACAGAAGGCTGAAGAGGCTGGGGAGTGGCTAAGGTACTTACCTGGGACCCACGGGGTCCCCTGAGCTTACCAAGAGTGATTCTCGAGTGCAGAGCTCGGTGTGTACCATATCCCCCAAAAGAACATGTAGATACCATGCAAGGAGAGAAGAGCTCCCCGGGACTTACTGCCTGCCTGTAAGAGCATCCTCTCCTAAGCCCTAAAGTTAGTGAAAAACTAAAATAATGAACCCAAAACTACCTCTGTTGGAAAAATTTATAATAGCAAAAATCTAATAGGATGCCAGCATGGCGGATCAAGACACCCTAGTCTAAAGAGCCACCTCGAGGCCAGTGGGTGGATAAGAAGTCTGCCACGCACACAACTGGCCCAGGTTTGATTCCCAGCACCCCAGGTGGCTCCCCCAAGCATACCAGGGTGGCCCCTGAGTACAGTCAGGAGTAACCCCAGACAGCTGCTGGGTGTGGCCTAAAGACCAAAGAAAACATTAAGAAACCACATTCCCAGTGGTCACAATTTAATGACTTTTGCTTTTTATCCACAAGGTGGCGCTGAATTAACAGTGTTGGGGGAACTCATGGGGGGGGGGGTTCCCCTCTCCATGGCCACTGCCCCCCAGCACGGAGACGGCATGGTTGGGAGCTGGGGGACTGAGGAGCACCCCAGGGCAGCCTTTCGCTCTCACCTCCCCGCCTGTGGAAGAAGTGCCTGGTGACAAGCACAGCCCAGTCTGAAAAGGAGTAGGGGGTGGGGGCCAACCTCCTGCAGGGAGCGGACAGAACCCCCAGAGAGTGCGGAGAGTGCAGAGCCCACCCTGCAGGGAGGAGGACAGACGCCCGCTGAGAGAGCAGCAGGCTACAGAGCCCTGCCCTGCACCCCCCACGTCATGCAGGTGTGGGCCTGGGCCCTCAAGGATGCTTGAGTCCCCCTGGGAGTGGTTCCAGGCTTCCTGGGCAGTGCCTAGGGCAACCCCCCCTCCCCCATACACACATACATAGAATAGCCGCACAGCCCTAAAGGGTGCCCAAGGGGGCGACATCCCCAACGGTGCTCCTCTGTGGAGCCGGGGACCCCTCGTCTCCCTCCAGCAGCACTGCCTGGGATAGGCACCTGGCCCAGTGCAGGGCCAGCACAGCCGTGAAGCAGCATCGAGCAGAAACTGGCCAAGGACTGCTGACCTCTGCGCCCCGCACTGCAGTCCCCAGGGCCTCCCCAGTCTTTGAAACAGGGAAGGTTTGCACCAAGACTGCAAACAACCCAACAGAGCTGCTGGGAACAGGGAGAGGGGCCAGGCCAGGCTGGACTGGGGAGGGTTCGTGCGGGAGTGTGGCCCGGGGGTCAGTCAGCGGCTCCGTAAGCAGGAGGCTACACTGGGCTCCTGGACCCAGTAACATACAGGCGCGACCCTGGTGACCATGCCCTTTAGGGTCCCCAGTGTCCAGTCCAGTGTGGATTCCCCAGGGGGTGCGAGCAGAGCAGGAGAGGGGAAGGGCCGAGGCAGGGGAGGGCTTGGGTCTGAGTGCGCAGGAGCAGGGTGGGTTTGGAAGGCACCACCTGCTACAGACGCCCACCTGGGCCCCACACACGCCCCTGCATCTGCCCAGTGTGCTGGCCCCTGGGGTGCCTCAAACCAAGCACGAAATCCCAGAGAGCCGCAGGAGGGGGCGAGTGACCAGCAACCCCTCTCATGCCACCTCTGGCCAAGTCACAGCTGCCCCTGGCTCAACGGGACAGACAGTGCACATCACGGCCGACTCCACGGCCTGAGCAGCCCAAGAGTGCAGTCCCAGGCCTGGTGGAGCCAGGGAAGATACCGGCTTCACTCAGGGTGGGGTGAAGGGAGCGGGGTCCAGGCTGGAGCGTGTCTAGGGTCGCCAGTGGCAAGTCCACCCGGTGGCCTGTCTCCTCTCTGCAGGACGCCCCCTCAGCGGGTGGCAGGACACAGGGCACCTGGGAAGAGACCACCCACTGCCCCTGCATGGACACGGGGCTCCCCCGCCCCTTCTCTGGGTCACCCCTTGTCAGGTAAGGATCACCCGAGTGGCGTCCACCCTGCCCAATGGAGCAGACACACAACAGGAAGCGCCCGCAGGCCCAGGCAGACTCTCTAGTCAGCCCAGCTGGGGCCGCCGTTAGGGCAAAGGGCTGTGTCCCTGGTGCAGCTGCTGCAGAGATGGAAACTTTTCTCTTTCAAAGCACAAAAATTTGTAAGTCTACAACTGTACCTCATGGCATTTCACTATTAAAAAAAAAAAAAGAAAAAGAAAAAACACCGAAGAGAACTGTGGCCTCAGCGGCTCAGCTCAGGACAGGGAGCCCCACGTCACGCCCGGGCCACCCGGGACCTGCACTCAGGGTTCGAGAGTCAATCAAGGCCGCAGTCTCTGGCATATCTGCACACTGACCCGCCACTCTCCTTGCATCGTCAAAGATCCTGAGTTTGTTGTTTCTCTTTGAAGGAACTTGTTTTCCCGTGAAATCAGAGTGCTCTTGGCACTGCTTATTTAAAAAAATAATAATAATCCTTAGATTAAAATAAAAACATTCATGTCCAGGATATGCAGACACTCACGTGATACCCCAATTATTAAAACACTGTTCTCTTGTGTCTTTATTTTAAACAGGTAGAAACCGATGCTGAGAACTCTGGAACGGCGGGCTCAAGGACAGCACCCAACAAGAGGCAGACCCAGACATGAGCAAGCTTCTTAGGGCCTTTTGCATTCCAAGAAAACACTCAAACAACACCCCCACTCTCCCCCCACTCCCCTCCAGCTGCCTGTTCTCTGGAAGGAGGCTAAAGATTTTACATTGTTCTCTTTGTCAAACGTATAACCAAGAATCTATTTTTGTAACTTCAGACTCAGTGATTCCTGAGAACTCCACTGGCCTCCCAAATGGTTTGTTCTGAAATACTGCCCAGCACCACAGCTTCAAGGAAAGCCGGGGTTTCCAGAATCAACGGCAAACAACTGGTTGTTATTACAATCCCTGGGTGACGCTTAAATGAAAACATTAACACACATCAATCATTTAAACTCAGCTGGGCACAGCAGTAGTGTTGGAAGCGCTCTCTGCTAAGCCATTCAGGCAGAGTGGATGGTGGGTGGGGCTCCCCCAGTCATAGGGAACGGTCTCGGGGAGAGTGGACGGTGGGTGGGGCTCCCCGGTCTTAGGGAAGGGTCTCAGGAAGAGTGGACGGTGGGTGGGGCTCCCCCGGTCATAGGGAACGGTCTCTGGGAGAGTGGACGGTGGGTGGGGCTCCCCTGGTCATAGGGAAGGGTCTCGGGGAGAGTGGGCGGTGGGTGGGGCTCCCCTGGTCATAGGGAAGGGTCTTGGGGAGAGTGCACGGTGGGTAGGGCTCCCCCAGTCATAGGAAATGGTCTCAGGGAGAGTGGACGGTGGGTGGGATTCCCCCGGTCATTGGGAAGGGTCTTGGGGAGAGTGAGCAGTGGGTGCGTTCACCCAATCAGAGACTCTGAACTCCACAGGCTTGGGCACCTTTCCGGGTGCAGACAGGTGGAGAGAAACACTCTGAGGAATCTGCCCCGCATCCCCTCCTGCACAGGTGACACGCACAGGGGCCCCCGCCCAGCCCCTACCTCATCCTGCGCCCTGCAGGCTGCCAGCCGCGCCTTCTCCGCCTCCAGGGCCTTCTCTGTCAGCTGCCCCTGCACCTCGGCCAGCTCCTTCCGACTCTTCTCCTTGTGCTCGTCCAGCTGGTTCCGGAGCACCAGCGTGGACGCGCGGGACGCCTCGTCAGTATTTGCCACCTGGGGGTGGGGCGCGGTGAGAGTGGGCGCTCCGTCCACTCAGAGCTCGCTTCTTCACTCTGCCTCTGTCCCCCCACTCGCAGGAAACAGCACGGACCTCTCCCTCGGGGCCTCCCAGGAAGCAGGAAACATAGCCCTCCCTCACCGGCACGGCCTGTCACGGCCGGAGCTGCCGCCAGCACTGAGCCACCCTGCCCGCATCCGGACAGGTCTGCACTGGCGAGGGGACCAGTGGCGCAGTGCCCACGCCCAGCGAGGCCCCACTCTGCACCAGTGACAGAGACGGGAGAGCTGGACTTCGACCCCGCTGCTCGTGTCCAGCGAGAGAGATGGGGCATAGCCCGGTCTGCCCTGGTGGCCACTCGCTCTTGGCTGAGACAGAATGCCAGACTTGGGACACTTCCCGCCATCACACAGGGACAGCTCAGCAAGTGAGGAGGCCTGGGCATGAAGCCCCCGCGGTGTTCGAACCCGGGGCGGGCTGCTCTGCTCCCCCATCACCTTCTCCGCTCTGCCCTGCCCTGCCCCACGCCTCCCCCCTCTCCCCTGAGAGCCTCCCCCTGCCCCCACCTCCTTCTGCAGCTTCTCGATGGTCCTGTCCAGGTGCCAGCGCTTGCTCTCCAGGTCATTCTTCAGTCTCCGCAACTGCTCCTTCTGTTCCGTCTCAGCCCGGAGCGTCTCCGCCATCTGCTTCTGCTCCTGCATGGTCCGGCTCAGCTCCCTCTGCAGAGGGCGGAACGGCCCAGTGCTCGCCAGCCGCCAGGTCAGCTGTGGCACAGCCACACCAGAAACCTGCAGCCTGGAGCACGGTGCTAGGGAAGGGCCCGACCCAGGCACAGCAGGTGCCGCTGCCTCTGGGACTTGGTCAAAGGGCAGCGCAGACTTGACCAAGACGTGGGGAGGAGGAAAAGGACCAAGGGTTCATCACAGAATCAACCATCGGCCCAGTCTGCCGCAGCAGTCAGGCTGGGTAACGGCTAGACCTGGGTCCCCGTGGGTTCCAAAGGGGAGCGAAGGCCGCACACCAGCCCTCGGCCACACCCAGCATCCTTGCGGACCTTATATTCTAGAGTGTGCTCTGCTCTGCAGGTGATCCTTATGGGTGAAAGGGCTAAAAGTGAATCTGTAAGATAACTTGGTGTCACTGGGCCAGGGAGAACCAGAATCAATCAACGGAATCCATGGGCCGAACCTGGACACATGGAAAGGAATCTGGGCTTTCCAGGGCGATGGCCGTGATAAGCAGGGCCTGCTGAACGGCAGAGGCAAAGTCAGAGATGGAGATGGCACAGGTCAGGTGCCTGCCTTGCACACACCCCGCCCTGGTTCTAGCCTTAGCATCCCACAGGCTCCCTGGACACTGCTGGGGGCACTGCCAGGGGTGGCTGCAAAGCCAAGCTAGAGATGTACATACAGAAGACTATTCAGAAAATCTATACCAAATACTAGTCCTGACTCTACAGTGTGACCACCATGGAGCCAGAGACAGTACAGGGTTGCTGACACGCTTGCTCTGCACGCAACATGGACCCCCCAGCACTGCAGAGGGTCCCCCGAGCCCTGCCAGAAGTGGCCCCTGAGCACAGCTGGGAGTGGCCTCGAAGGAAGCCAAACCAAACCAGGCCCTGCTGCGTCTCGGCTGTCTCTCACGTGTCCTGCGCCCTGGTCTCCCCACCCCCCCCACCCCCACCTACAGGCAGCTCCAGATGGAACAGTTCAGTGCCCACGCTCTGATGATGCCAGAAAACACAGGGACCTTTTCCCACTCAGAAACCAGAAATGTGCCTGAGCCGTGCGGGGTGTGTGTGTGTGTGTGTGTGTGTGTGTGTGTGTGTGTGTGTGTGTGCGCGCGCAGGAATGTGTGTGTGTGTGGGGGGGGGGGGTGGCGAGCTAGGGTCCTGGGGCAAACACTGGCCTTGGCACAGACAGCCCCCAGAGACGGCCCTTCAAACACTCCCTGCTCCCAGTGCTCCGTCTACCTCCCAAGGGGAAAGACCCTCCTTCCGCAAGTCTCCAGGCAGCTGCGTGGGGATGATGCCTCCTGGCCTCGTGGGCCCAGAGCACACACCTGCCCAAACAGAGAGCGGCCTGCACACCCTGGCCCTGGGTTCCGCCTCTGGAAAGCTGCCAACCCCTGAGTCCAAGACTACGGCTCCCGGCCTTGGCTGCTGACACTGGGGCCAGGCTGGGCCTCCCGTGGCCGCAGGCCAGGGCCCAGCCATGCTGCTGCAGAGGAACAGCGGCCTGATGCCTGATGCCTGCCCCACACGTCCCAGACAGAGGCAAATGTGCCCGTGCAGCCAAGAGCCACTGCAGGGGGCCTGGGAGGAAGCCCAGGAGGCGTCGGAGTTACCTGGGCCTCTTCCAGCTCGCTCTCCAGCGCCCTGCATGCAGACCTGGCTTCCGCCTCTTCCTTCCTGGAGCGTGTAAGGGCCTCCTCCAGCTGCCTCACCTCGGCCTGCAATGGACACACAGGGCTCGAGGCACCTCAAATATGAGCCGGGGGGGAGGGGGTGGGCTGAGCACACACAGGGAGCCCAGAGATGGGCACAGCCATATGAGGGTGACCCCACATGCCCCACCTGCGTCCAGGGTGCCACACGGCTGGGCACAAACCATGCCACTGCCCACCCTCAGGACTCACTCTGCAGGAGCTTCAGGGGATGCCTCCAGGCAACTGATGGGAGACCAGGAGGGGGTGGGGGTGCTCCGGTGGGGTAAAACTTGACTTCCTGCCCCCCCCCCCCCCCCCCGTCTCCCTGCCATGAGCACCTCCCGCCAACAGCTTCCCATGCACAGAGATCTGGCATGCCAGATAACTGGTCTGTTAAAGGCTGAGTGACTTCCTGGCCCCACCGACTAAGTGTGTATTTTTCTTTAAATGAAAAAGGTATCCATGAATGGGAGGTGGCCTGGATGGGACATTTAGATGGTCTCTTTCAGTAGCGAGTGCCTCTGCCAGGTAAGGAATGTGGGGCCAAGGCACAGGGCAACAGGTGAGACCCTTTCCTTGCACGTGGACACCAGGATTCAATTCCCAGCACCCCATATAGTCCTCTGAGCCCCAATAGGAGTGACCACAGACCCAGGAGTAAGTTCTGGGCATCCCCGGGGATGGCCCCAACATGAAAATGAGAGACCAAGCAAACATCAAGATGTTGGATGTTTCTGGCATGCAGAGAGTCTGCAGGTGCCGGCCAGCCAGTCTGCCTCTCCCCCACACTCTCACCACTCGCTCCAGGCAGGCCCTGCGGCCCGCACTGCCCCTGGGACATGGCTGCCACTCTCACCTCCCGCTTCCCGAGCGCCTCCTGGCTCTCGGCTTCTCGGCCCTCGGCGTCGTGCACCTGTGCACGGAGCTGGTCCACGCGGCTCTGCAGGGCGTCTGTGTCCGCCCGCAGCCTCTCGTTCTCCTCCTGCAGCCGCACGCACTGCTCGGCCCCCGCCTGACTCTGCTCTGCGGCGCTGCTGCGACTGGCCAGGACCTCGACGTTCTGCATGGAGCAAACAGAGGATGTGGCTGGGCCTGGGCACCTGGGGAGTGGCAGCTGGTGGCCCACACACAGGCTCCTCTGGGACATGTTCCCAGGCATGGCCGTGCTGGGTCAGGTGGAAGCTCAAACCCTAGGTTTTGAGAAATCGCAAAAATTGTCCACAGAAATGAAGAGGAGGAGGAGGAGGACTGGCCTTTAGTAGGAAGCTGGCCGCCGGGATGGGGTGGGAAGAAGGTGTGAGAGACAGACACTAGGACAAGGGGAGAGGGAAAGTGCCTGCCACAGAGCAAGGCCGTGGGGACAGGACGAGACGGAAACTAGGGACACTGGGGGAGGGTGGTGGGCACTGGTGAAGGGATTGGTGTTGGAACAATATATGCGGGACACAAATATCTTAGTAACTTTTTAATTCATGGAGGCAGAGAGAAAGAAAGGAAGAAAGGAAGGAAGGAAGGAAGGAAGGAAGGAAGGAAGGAAGGAAGGAAGGGAAGGAGGGAGGGAGGGAAAGGGAAGGAAGAAAGGAAAAAAGGAAGAAAGGAGGAAGGGAGGGAGGGAGGGAAGGAGGGAGGGGACTGTGGACCCATGTCTGAACAGTTCTGGTGTGGGCTGGACACTGCCCTCCAGGACAATGCATGCCAGGCGCCGCACTCAGCCGGTACACCACTGGCTGTGGCCAGTCTTAGTGTGTCGCTTGCCACTGGGGCAGTGCGGGGCTTGGGACATAGCAGCACCAGCCCTGGGCGGTCTGTCCGATGGCCACCATCCTGGATGCAAAGCAGGGCATGGGCCGAGCACAGATCTGTGCCGGGAAAGTCGTGGGGTAGGTCTGGCTGCCCTGGGAAAGGCACCCTAACCACACCCTTCTCAGCGTCTTCCTCCCGGCCAGGGGAAGACAGGACTTGGCCACACATCATCAGTGCCACCGCAGCCCAGCTGCACCCGCTTCTCTCAGTCAGGAGCTGGTGTGTGATGACCTCCAGAGGGGGCTGGGGATGAGATGGCGAGGGGAGACAACTGGGGTGGAGGGAATTCCACCGGGGGGAGGAGGGGTGGTGCTGAAGGGCGGTAGAGTGTGCACGAAGCCCCACAGTGCTGTAGACCAGAGCAGAAACAGGACTGAGGCCGTGAGCAGGGCGGGCACTGGTGGAGGGAAGTGGACACTGGAGAAGGGGTCGGGCGCTGAGTGCCCAAACACAACCGTGAATAACTGTGTCACTTCAGGATGACCAGGTAGAAAAAAAAAATAAATTAATAAGAATGGCTCCAAGGGGCTAGAGGGAAAGCGGTGGTGAGGTTCTGGCATTGCCTGCTGCTGGCTGCCTGAGTTCTGGCACCGCAGCGTCCCCGAGTGCCTCCAAGACCGATCCCTGAGCACAGCGGGGTGAGGCTCCACACCCCTCTCCCCCCGACCCGTTATCCTTCACATAATCATAGCCCACATTCCTACCAGATTAAAAAAAACTGGCATGAGATCAGCAAGGAAAAACAGTTAACAACACAGTTAAAAACACAGTGAAAAACAGTTAAAAACACAGACAAACCACCTTTCCAGCCAATGCCGAAGGAGCTGTGGGTGGACCGGCCCAAACCGTGCTCTAGCTACTGCCTTGGGGGTCCACCTCCCTGCCCTGCTCCACACAGGACCCCCGCACTGATAAAGGACAGTCTCAACGTCAAGACTTAAATCCAGCACAGGGGAGCTGAGAACGTGCTGGGACTGCTCTGTACGCAGCACGATTGAGGAACATGCGCGTCCCATTCAGGGGAGGGGGAGGCAGCACCACCAGGCGACCTCCAGGGGGCGCTCAGGCTTCCATTCCTTGGCTTAAGCAACCCACTGTCACTTTCTCTGTCCTCCAGTTGTTCATCGATTTGCTCGATTTGCGGGCTCAGTAACGTCTCCATTGTGAGACTTGTTGTTACTGTGTCTGGCATATCGAATACGTCACGGGGAGCTTGCCAGGCTTTGCTGCGCGGGCGAGATACTCTCGGTAGTTTGCCGGGCTCTCGGTGAGGGGCGAAGGAATCGAACTCGGGTCTGCCATGTTGGCTGCGTGCAAGGCAAACGCCCTACCCGCTGTGCTATCGCTCCAGCTCAAAAGCAACCCAGACTGGGAAATGGTCTTGGCCACAGTCCCCTTGGCTCTGCAGACTTCTTCTTCTTTTTTGGGGGGGGTGGGGTGGGGTCACACCCGGCGATGCACAGGGGTTACTCCTGGCTCAGCACTCAGAAATCACCCGTGATGGTGCTCAGGGGACCATATGGGATGCTGGGAATTGAACCCGGGTCGGCTGCGTGCAAGGCAAACGCCCTACCCATTGTGCTATTGCTCCAGCCCCTCTGCAGACTTCTTGCCTGTCTCCCATTTATCCACACACAAGACGTGGATAAACGAGAACGCAAGGCTTGTGGAACATCTGTGAGAAAAGAAGCCCCGGTAGGGCAGGGATTTGGCCTCCTGGGCGGTGGCACAGCTCACTGGGACAGCTCCCTTGTGGGGCCTGCCCTTCAGCAGTTTAGCCCGCTGCCTTATTCTGAACCTAACTTGCTGGAGAGCTTCCAGAGGCTTCCACCCACGGGGAACAGGTCTGATAATGACTTGGGGACACTGTTACGAGAAAACCAGCCTGGAGCTGCTCATTCCTTTCCCCGACCCAGTGGGTTGAAACCCAAAGCTGAATGGCCTAGAGTCAGGAATCCAGAAACGTGAACCAAAGCAGATTTTCGACATGGATTTCACGACAATTCCGCTGAGGAAGATTAGTCCCCAACAATGGTGCGGTATCTGGATGGTGAATGAAGTCAGACCCTTCCTCACTCCATACACAGAAATTAACTCTGGACACGCCATGCATGTAAGTGTCCAGAGTTAATTTACACCCAGTGTAAGTTCTCAAAAGAAAACAGAGGGGCAGATATTTGTGGGCACAGAGTCAGAACATGTCCCTGAGAAATGTCACAAAACACACAAATCATATGGGAATAAAATCAATTTCATCTATCTGTAAAACACAAATGGCACCTTAAAGGCTGTGAAAAGACAGAGCCCGGATGAGGGAAAAATATTTACAAAAATCATATACCTGCTAAAAGTCTCATACCTGAGACAGCTGAAGAAGTCTTCAACTCGGTAACCAGAAGGTAAATAACCCAGTTTCAGAAGGATGGAAGATCTGAGCGGCTACAGACACCCCCTTCCGCCCCAAACACACAGAAACCTGATAAGCACCTGCAAAGCTCTTCCACAGCAGCAGTTGGGAAGGAAATGAAAATGTTTTCACACCCACTAGCAGAGCTAAAATCAAAGACACAGTGCGAGGAGATAGGACAGGGAGTCCACTTCCTCCCCCCCTCCAACAGAAGCCTGAGCACAGCCAGTGAAACCCTGGAGGCCTCTGGCACAGCTGGGCCTGGGGGAGGGGGCAGCCACCCAGCATCCTCCTGCCTCCCCCCCAGGACACCCTCGGGCCATAACACTAAGACTGGCTGAGTATAGGTGGGTGTGGTCTGGGAACCCTGAGCCCTGCTTTTGAACAACATTCCCACCCCCCCACCTCCCAAGAAAAAACACATACTGGAGGCTGGTATAGTAGCTCAGTGGGTTGGAACAAAGGATTTGCATGAGTGAGAGCCAGGTTTGAACCCCAGCATCATATGGTCCCCTGAGCACCATGGGTAGAAGGAGGGAGAGAGAAGGAGAGAGTGAGAGAGGAGAAAATAGTAAGCCAGGGGGGAGAGGGAAACCTAAACCTTCCACAAGTCTACTAACTAACACCCAAGAGAAACCTGCATATGAACGTGCAGAGTGGAAAGCACCCCAATGCCCTTAACTGGAGAAAGGATGAACGAAACACTGCTGGTCCTCCCTAAGAAGGACACAGAAGCTCAGAGGCGCCCGAGCCTTGAAGGAGCCAAGCGAAGACATCAGTCGCAGAATACACACGGATGCTCCGCGCAAAGTCCAATGCGGGCGACTCCAAAGACAACACTCGGGGGAGGGAGAACTGGGGGGTACTGGAGGAAGTACAGAGGATTCTTGGAGAAGGGAGTGATGGAAATGTTTTAACACTGAACAGAGTGATGGTCAGGCGGCACTGTGGACACACTGCAAACCACAAGCTCTAAGTGGTCACATACTACACGAGTTACACCAATATACGTGCAATATTTATTTGGTAGTAAATATTTTATTTCATTCAGTTATTTTGTAACCATGGCGGTACCCAAAATATATAGTTTATTTTTTAAGTTCAAAAATTTGAAAATATTAGGCCACAGCCTTCGCGGACAGTCGCCGCAGTTTCCTGCTTCAACAGTGCTTGGCCGGAACCCGGCGCTCATTCCCCCCCTCCCCCACTGCCCCCGCCGGCCGCTTGCAGCCTGTCCTGCACCACCACCACCACCACCACTGCCGCCTCGTCCCATCTCAGTCGCCACCATGACCACCACGTCCCCCTAGCAGGTGCACCAGAACTACCACCAGGACTCAGAGTCCGCTATCAACCGCCAGATCAACCTGGAGCTCTACGCCTCCTACATCTACCTGTCCATGTCTTATTATTTTCACCGCGACGATGTGGCTCTGAAGAACTTCGCCAAATACTTCCTGCACCAATCTCACGAGGATAGAAAACATGTGGAGAAGCTCATGAAGCTGCAGAACCAGCGCGGTGGCCGGATTTTCCTTCAGGATATCAAGAAACCAGATCACCACGACTGGGAGAACGGCCTGAATGTGATGGAGTGCGCGTTGCACTTGGAGAAGAGCGTGAATCAGTCACTGCTGGAGCTGCACAAACTGGCCATGGACAAGAATGACCCCCACCTGTGTGACTTCCTGGAGACTCACTACCTGGATGAGCAGGTGAAGGCCATCAAAGAACTGGGTGACCACGTGACCAACCTGTGCAAGATGGGGGGCCCCCCGAGTCTGGCATGGCGGAACATCTCTTTGACAAGCACACACTGGGTCACAGTGACAATGAGAGTTAAGCCTTAA